ACACTTAAAGCAAGCATCGTTTGTGAATACGGGCGTAAGGATGTTTGGACTAAATAAAAATATTTTCTTTCTTTCTTTAATTATTTGTGCTTAACTGTATTTTTTATTTTACCAACTTGACTGGATATATTAAAATCCACTACCTTCACATTTTAATTTGCTTTTCCAGGGTATAGAAGAGTGCTCAAAAACTAAAGATTTTACTTAGGCATAGAGTTCATGAATTAATCATTTCACTTAGGCGTTACGAAAACGTAAAAGAATTTTATAATCTTCTTCTAAAGATCATCATGCCGAAAATATGAAGTAGGTACCCACATTAAAGTTAAGTAGGTACCTAATTCATTTAACTGCTTGAAGTCTAGACTAATATTTAATTACGCAAATATGACAGTAGTAGTTAGTAGTGGAATTTTACATTTTTATATCTAGTTAAAGACTAGACTAGGCTTAAAGAACATAAATACTATAGTAGATATTGCAGACATCATTTCAAATATAAATTAATACAGCTTAGGTAGATAAGTAAGCGGACGATAAGTGAGGTAACTTTTAGTGTAGGTACCCATTATTTTTGTGGTCCATTTGAAACTTTTTTATTTCAATTAAATGTCTTCTTAAATAAATTTTAAATAACAAATAATCACATTTTATAACGATAAATCATGGACCTATAAAAAAAGTCGGACGGATTCTCATCAACAAAATACTGTGACATTAGGATACACCAGCTTGCCTGTACGTACAGGCCGGCACGCACACATTCACACCCTGATACACCACTTCGAGTGCAAACTTCACACAGTTGACACATTTAAGCAGCGAAAAAACAATACGAATACGACATGTCTTGTGTGATGAAATTGTGTAAAAACACATTAAGGAATCACATTTCACAGGCAAAATAATAATCCAATCACTTATTTCCCGACATTAAAATATTGAAATTAATTGAAATCAAACGTCATTCACTCGAAAAAATAATACGTCAAAGACCAGTGTTCTCAGTTATTTACGTGGGAAAATTACTCGAAATATGGGAAATTAATAATAATTTTAGGACTTTTTAGTTATTTATTACGCATATGGAAATAAAATAATTTATCATAATAATTGTGTTTTAATGGGATATATTTTCATAGGCAAATTTTATCCTTCCCAAAAATATGGAACTGCGAAATTCAAATTTTCTTACATTGATTGCAAGTCAGTGTCAGGTTGTATGTTAAAAAAAATCTATCAGAGATAATAATAATATATTGATGATGCATAAGATTATGATTATAATGTACACAAGATTCGTAATTTGTAACTGCGTGAATTATTTTTGATCAACATTATGTATGTACAGTCACGGAATGAAAAGGTTCGTCAGTTTTTAAATTGATTTCTTCAACGAATCGCGAGCACATAATATTACCTTTTGAAACTATGTTACAGAATAATCTCGAGTTAGAGAAAATAATCTTTACCTGTTCGTCAGTAAAGTTCAAAATTATTCAGATCAAAGTTGTTTGACGGTTTATCTTGTCAAGAAGAATATTATGATTGATAAACTAAAACCTTGTTGGTTCAACCTGCCATTATTATTTCTATTAAATAAAAAAAAACTATTGTCAATNGGTTTGTCCGAACCTTTAAACATTTTTAAGAACGCGAACGTTTTGACAGTAATGACATTTATAACGTTTTTGACTCACCTTTGACAAAGCGTTTCTATGAAGACTATCCAATCCATCTAGGCTTTATTAATTAGCTTTCCGCCCACGGCTTCACCCACGTGGAATTTTGTCTGTCACAGAAAAACTATGTCGCGCGCGTCCCTGTTTCAAAAACCGGGATAAAAACTATCCTATGTCCTTTCCCGGTTCTCTATGCCAAATTTCATCAAGATCTGAATTTTACCACCTAACTGACCGTAACTATTACGATAACCGGTGTTTTTTGTATGGAGCTTGACATATTTTTGACGTTTGTAAGTCAAAGTAAGATGGTGCAAACCAGCCTAAGAGTTCAAAGAAATAAATAACTGAGCATGGGCAAACCAACAAAAGGTGACAACCGAGCCTCGCGGTTTTAGCCACATAATAAATTCAAGAATTTACAACAATTTTAAACGTGATAATATTCATGAGGTTACATTTTCGCGGGCCACAGTAAAATGCTAGTGCAGTAGGTCACATTCATCCTTTTACGTAATACCTTAACCCCGTTACACAAGTGTTTAACAGTTGTTTAAAATGGCATTTCATACTAAACGTCACTTTAAACAGGTGTTTAACGCGAGTGTACCTTTTATTTTAATTAAATTAAAGGTATTTTGGTGTAAGTATGATTAATTTTGATTAGTGATACTAATTTACTGAAGTTTGCCGACACTGTCATTCACTAAATGAGCATTTCTTGAAATTTTTAACAAAAAATATCGGATAAAAGGTTTTAAACATACCTTAAAATTATTATGTAACATGACAATAATAAAATACCAACAGAGTGAAGTTCACTTTCGGTTTTGAGCTCAACATGTACCTGGGCTATTTGAGGTGGTAATATTAGTAAGTAAGAAGTAAACCTACTTAATCAATCTTTACTGTGGCCTGACTTAAGACGTTAATTAAGAATACTAATTAAGACATGAATTTTGTATACTTTGCAAACATTGCAGAGCGTGTTTTCGATAAAGCGGTGAGGTGTTTGTGTAATCTCGTTACCATCAAAGATAACGTTAAGATTAAAGATTGATGGTCTTTCAAGTCAAAATGACGAAGATTTTCTACTAGTAGTTCTTTAAAATTGATTTTAAAAGATTCCAATGTCATAACATAGGTACTTCTTCCGTTATAACACTAAAACTCTAAGTAAAAATGTCTAAGAAAAATGCTGGAACATATTTCGGAGACAGTAGAATAATAATTATAATTTGCACAAATGTAAAATAATTTCTCGAGCAGCGACCACGGGGCGGTAGACGTACTGTGGGCATGCCCGACACTAGGTGGACCGACGATATGGTGAAGGTCGCGGGAAGTACCTGGATAAGGGCAGCGCAGGACAGGTTGTCTTGGGAGAGGCCTTTGTCCAGCAGTGGACGTCATTTGGCTGAAACGAAACTAAAATAACTTGTATAGTAATGATCTTCTTAATAAAGTATAATTAAAAATTGACAATCTAGAAACCCATTAGGTGGTTTCATCTTTTGGATTGTAAACATTTTTTTAGATAGAATATTTTACTTTTGAAAGTTTTAAAATGTTTAAACGAGCAGAACGGCTAGAAAATACTTCTAGTGTAACTGCAGCCTCGCGTTCCCCACATAAAGGTGTCATCAAGTATCAGGTCAACATTCGTCCGTCACCCACTGCTATCAATAGTAGCGTAATGCCCCCTTTATTCGCGAGGTGCTGGGATGACGAGTGACGAGCGTCTAGCGGTTTTGATGGTTTTCCAACGAATGCTATAAGAGCTAATCTTAAATTTTATTGAGCATCTAAGTTTCCATAGAGGTGTTTCGGTCTTCAAGAGTAGCTTGGTTATCTTACGAAGAAGAACTTGAGTTGTAATTTTTTATACCATTACAGGGAAGATTTTGGCCTGCATGTCATCTGATGGAAAGTAAAAATGATCAGGCGGAACCGCCGAACATGAGACTGTTAACCACAGAGGAACATTTTTTTCAGATAAAATTCTTTTTTCTCTCACCCTCACTTCTAAAGGGAATTTCAAGCATAGATTTTTAATTTTTATTACTATCTTGAAATCCGTATTCTGCTAATTTCATTACAAGCTCTTTTTGCCAAGCTACATGCAATGGAAGCTCTTGATCTGCATCAGAGGTACTCATCAGTCGAAGTTGACACGAACTCCTAAATGTTCCAGCACTATGTATTTTTCCATTGTCTATAAATTCTATTGACTTTTTAAAGACCTAAAGCTGGATAGTACTGTTTTAAGACCTGAAGCCGTCTAAGTTGATAACTGGTGCCAAAGTGCATCGGTCGTCCGGTCGTCAGTCAGTGGAAATGCCCCATTACGTCGCGGCCACACGCACCTCTGCGAGTGGAAACGATTACAGGACTCACATTTCTTACTTTGCTCCACAATGAGCTCGGGAAATTCTTTTACATTTTGTGTTAGTATCGGCAATTGTTTTGAGTTCTGTATTTTTAAGCCTATAAAAATAGGCTTATGTAGAAAATAAGCATGCTTAAGCTAAAAATCTCATTCAGAGACGGACGGATGGTCTGCTTCAAACGTTTTTGTCCAGTTCTATAAAACGCACTCTCGCAACTAACCTGCGTCTCATCTGAGAGTGAGAAAGAGATAATGACATGCATGTATCATTCACTCACTATACTTCCATTGTTTACTTACGGAGATTTCGTAGACTTACAATAAATTCGTATAAGTTGATAACTTGGGCCCAACTGCATCGGTCGTCCGGTCGTCAGTCAGTGGAAATGCCCCATTACGTCGCGGCCACACGCACCTCTGCGAGTGGAAACGATTACAGGACTCACATTTCTTACTTTGCTCAACGGTCCGGGTCCCAGAGATGGCTGACGTTAACTTTATGATTTTATACGCGGGAATTCGTACATTTTATTTCAGGATCTTTACGCGGCAGTTGGGTTTAGTTGGGTATTTTTGGATGTAGATTGAAAAGCTTCAAAAAGTGCTTTTTAGTCAGAATCACTTGCGTTTGCCAACCAACAGCAACAAAGTTAATTACACCCTAAAATAATAATTTTAAGTATTTTACAGATACACCGTAGAATGCTAATCTGAATGAATAAGGTATTTTTTTCAGCAGATTTACCAGAATTATGAGAATTTCCACATATTAAATAAATCAAGCTTCCTGTCCTCTCTCTCTCTGGGTTGTTTGGAAGAGATCACTTCCCAGCGATAAGACTGCCTCAATTATTGCCGTTTCAATTTTACATTTCTTTTATATGCCTATTCATCTATCTAACTCATGTTACCCCTTTCTTTGTTCGCAGAATGAGACTAGTGGGCGCTGTGGCAGTGTTATGCGCGTTGTCACATTGCGTCGCGCAATGGCGGTGTCCCGGGCTGAGTGCTCGGCCCGCGGCCGAATGCTCGTGCGACCTGCCCCATACGCTGCGGTGCACCGGAGACCACACTGCCCTTCAGGTGCGAGTTAGTTTGGGGATTTGATAAGAGACGGCGCTAGTATCGAAGAGTTTGTTTACTTGTTCACGCCACTAGGTGGCGTTGGTAAATATTATGGGTATTTTTAGTCTCTCCTGACTGCAGGAGCACGACTCTCTTATTAACCCTATACAGGCTAGACGGGTTGGAAAGGCTGTGGTTATTTTATAAAAATACGCTCTGCTTATTAATAAGTGACAAATTAAGCCCGACCAAACTAATTTCGGTTGATCGAGACACAAATCAGCGTTGGATAACCACAGACCGGTCCATAACTGATTCGATGTTCGTGTTCTCATATTTTAGATACGTGTGAAATTTACGCACAATTCTAACATGGGCACGGCGACCGCTAAAGGCTAATAGAGTAAGACAGAGTAGGCCGTCTACCAACGAAGTTTAATGTAATCTCTTTCCATGTACCTAGTTTTACAATACATACTGGTTATCAGTCATTCTGTGTTGCAGCTTTTCCAGAGCCCAAAACTTTACACTATACCTACTAAGTCCCGTAAAAATACATCGCCGTCAACTAAGACCAAATCTGAATCTACATAAATTATTGACTTGGCCATCGCACTAAATAATTTAATTTACACGTGTTTTCATGCGATGGCCAAGTCAATATATTTATGTAAAACGTTAAAGATTTCCTGGCCTGGACTTGGTATTACATGGATCTCACAATTTTTTACCTTAGAACAACTGAGTTGCGAGACTTGGTTTTTTTGACAAGTATTGTTTTTGATGGGATTAAAATTACAGCTATGATGGCTGACGCAAACTGCGAAAAAAACATAGGTAGATTATGAGACTATTCCCACCTCTCGTTCCCATAGCTGCAACTCTTGTGTAGCCAGGATCTACAGCTTGACCGCCAATAAAACCCAACCAGTGAAGGTCAAGTTTTTCCTGGGGGAAAGTTAATGTCATTGGACCGCAACTAAATTATTCAGAAGAACACAGGAGTTCGAAGTTAAGGTCTGACTTCCCTCCAGTGCTTTAGATATTATATTTTTGTGTCTTTGCTAGTAAGGTTTATTTTTCTCTAGCGAGCCTACTAAGTCTGACTTCATTTATGCTGACTGTTGCCAGAGGGAGATTAGATGGAAAGTGCAGTGAAACAATTTACGGCAATACGCCCATAGATACTCGTAGATGGCACCGTTTAGAAGATTTAGCACAATAGTGGATCAAAATTGAATGATTTTGTATTTAAAACAATGTCAATCAGTGAATTACTTGTTCAACTGTGTTATCTTTATTGATAACACAGTTGAACAAGGCCAACTGAAAAGCAAGAATCTAACTTTAAAAAACATTTTTTGGTCTGAAATGTTTTGACGAAAGAACCAAACTAATGGAATCCATGACTGTAAACCCTTAAAAAGGAGGCTGACAATAGTGACTGAGTTTCTTGCGCTGCTTCTTCTCAGCACTGGCCCATTTATTGTCCCGAAGCAGTGGTAGCGTTAGTTCGTTCGTTTCAGCCGAAAGACGTCCACTGCTGGACAAAGGCCTCCCCCAAGGATTTCTCTCCATGGGGGGGATTTGCCTTAATCGCCACGCTTGGCAGGCGGGTTGGCGATCGCAGTTTTTTATAAGGTTTCGCACGCAGACGCTGCTGCCCGTCCGGTGCTGCAGGGATTTTGTCGCCTCTTACGACACTCCTGTTGGCGGTGGGGAAGAGTATTCTTTATGGCCGTCCCCACACGGCACAAGAGCGTTAGTATTGGGAGCGAGCGTTAGTACTGGGACGTGTTAAAGTACTTTTTAAAAGCCTATTTGCAAAAATAAATGAGTATTATGAGTTTCATGCGACCAAAACTTTACTCTTGATATAGGTAGGATCTAGAAACCATCTTCATTTGAAAAATCAATCATTACTCAAGTTGTTCATAATAATAAAAGCGTAAAGCAAATATTAAAACCGCGTTTTAATTTATATTATTCAATATCTTTCCAAAGTCACGTAATAAATCAACAAGGTCCATTTTGCCCAGTAATTTCCATTAGCATCCCACATTTGGGCAGCGAGGAATAAATCCGAACATTTAATAATGCTGCCGTTTATTTTACCTTCTGTGTAGCACAAAGAAAACAGCCAGTGCAACTTTTTATTCACAATTTAATACGTGAAGGTATTACGTTCGAGAGGAAAGATTTGATTGTTTTTAATTCGAATAGACTCCGAAACCACTGGTTTTAATCAAAATTAAAACGCCCTGTGTGATCTAAGTAGGTATCTTTTAGGCTGAGTTGCACCAACTAACTTTAACCATCCGTAACTATAACGATAACCGGTGTTTTTATATGAACTTTGACAGATTTTTGACGTTTGTTAAAGTTAAAGTAAGATGGTTCAACCCAACCTTAAAATAGGGCTGATCTCGTTGCGCTAAGCTTTCGATGCCCATGCGTCCGTATAAATCCGTATCTTTGTATTGTGGAGTTTGTTTGGAGCGGAGGCCGAAAAAGGATAAAGAATCGGGACGTGCGCGAGTCGTCATCACGAGCTGTTTGCCGGACCGCCTTAGGGTGGCAATCGTGCGGTGTTACGTAGACCGTGCCTTTTCTTGGGGGTGCTTGAGGGTTAAATGAATATTTTTATCAGGCATACGATCGTCTATGAATGGGCTGAGCAGCTAGAAGTGCAGTAAGGCTAGCACGAAAAACTTTCGAGTTCAAATCGTTTGCGTACTCGAATCGCTATCAAAAGATTTAGTAAGAAAACTACAACAGCGCCCTTGTGAACGTGTCGTAAAGTGAACTTAGTATTAGATGTGGTTGCACGAAACTTAATTTTGAGAATCAAAATTGTCACTTTATCGTTTAATTCGAAGATTGAGTATCGAATTTTATCGAATACGCAAACGATTCGAAGACGAGTGTTGTTCATGCTAGAGGTACAGATCTGAATCCGTAACGTTTCGATAAGATCAATAAAAAATAATTAATTAAATTCATAACTGTGATTGCACCTGACAGCTTGATTCAATAATAAGAAAGAACAATAGTCATACTTACCAATGCTGTTGCAAGATGAGGATTTTAGAGGAAGTTCCAAGTAGACAGATAATCTGAAATACTAGTACCTATGTGTTACATGAATTCATGTGTTGAATTGCAATTTTCAATAGAAAATTATGAATTTCAATTACATTAGTGCAATAAACTTATCAACGCCAAGTTTAATAACTTTTGTGATGTTTAAATTATTCGATCGCTGGCCTTAAAAAAAAGATAGATGTTTTTATGGTTCTAAATGCAGTAACAACAATTTTAAAATTCCGCCAACGTCTCAGATATCCCGCAGCGTAGTCACACTACATACGGAACCCGGATAGCCGCTGACCGCAAAACAAACAGCGTTCCCATCACTAGCCGCAAACACGCGTTGATGATAGCCTTTATTGGCCAGCCTTTATTGGGGAACGTTAATTTGGGCTATTGTATAAAATCTATACTAGGCAAAAGCTGGTTTAAAATAATTTCATAAATGATTCAATTCACAAAGTAAGACAGATTAACAATAATAGGACCACGTGGAACTAGCCTTCCTGGCAGTCCTACTAGTAGGACAAATTAGTAGGACCACGAGGAAACAAGGACTAATATTAGAAGGCTGAAGAGTTTGTTTGTTTGAACGCGCTAATCACAGAAACTACTGGTCCGATCTAAAAAAAATATGCTTGTGTTGGATAGCCCATTTATCCAGGAAGGTTAATAACATCACCCTACAGCCAATAGGGGTGGAGCAGTAAAAAAAATGTTGCAAAGACGGGAAATATTATTCAAAGTACATTTATTTTCATGCGTACGAAGTAGCGGGTACCAGCTAGTATGAATATTTAAGAAGAACATCATATTTTGGAGGTGGACCGACGACCTCATAAGCGGGAAGGCACTGGATGCAGGTCGCCACCAACAGGCCATTGTGGAAATCATTGAGGGAGGCCTATGTTCAGCAGTGGACATCCTATGGCTGAAATGATGATGGTGATGAACATCATTATTTTAAGCTAATCTAAATATCTAAATATATAAAAGGAGAAACTGACTGACTGACTGACAGATCAACGCACAGCCTAAACGGCTAAACGTAGGCACTTGAAATTTGGAAGGGACGTAGCTTAGGTACCGTAGAGGTGCACTAAGAAAGGAATTTCCGAAATTCCCACGGGAACGGGAATTAGCGGGAAAAACGGGATTTACGCGTACGAAGTCGCGGGCGGCCGCTAGTAATATTTTATAATTGTAATAGGTACTATTTTTAAACATAAATGTCCACCAGTCACAGTAAATCAGCTAAACGCAAATCATCTACTTAGGTATATCACCCCATTTGACTATATCAAGATGCACATAAAATAACTTTTGCTCGAACATTACTTAATGAATCGTACTTGAAGAAGTAATCAATTGTACTGAGGCTTTTCATCGTATTAAATCATTCGTAATTTACAAAGTTTCGAGTAATTTTGTAAAGAATTTCCTCCGTACCAAATTAATAGGAGAATTCGAGCGAAGCAAAAGTGCCTGTACAAGAGCAGTTTAAAAGAATTCGGAACCCTAAAAATGAGGTAATTTTTCAGACTTATGGGCTCAGGTTTATTGTTCCCGGCTATATGTTTATATTTCTGTTAGTGCCGTAGGTACCGCCGTTATTGTATAATAACGACCATCCCAAGCTTTTGTAGCGCATTCGTGGTTTTATAGCTTATGCTTGACTGCACTAGGGTAATTCATTTTGAGAATTATTTTAACTGATATTATGTTATTCGATTGTCCGGTAATTGTTCCATTCTTTTTCCTATCGTACCTGTATGTAAGTACATACAGCAGGGTGATTTGACCTTACTTAAACTATAACAAACGTCCAAACTCCATGCAAAAATACTGGTTTAAGTTATAGTTACGGTTAAAGTTAGGATGATGCTACAGCTCAGCCTAATAATAAAATATGTTTTCTTACGATCAAAGCGCTCTGCTTGATGACTAAGGCTGAGTTCTATAACAAACGTCAAAAATCTGTCGAACTCCATACAAAAAGCAACGGTCATTGTTAAAGTTACGGTTAAAGTAAGTTGGTGCAACTTGTCACTACGGAATATGTACGATTTTTTTAAGTTAACTTCATCTCCCGTCTCTTAGATGTAAGCCTAATATCTGACTTTTTCAACATAGTAATAAACTGCAAAGCCTCTCTGTACCTATAGATAGAGTAAGTTCACATGTGAGGTACAGACAACGGCATCTTTATGCATCTTATGCAGCTGTAATAGATGCTATTTTCCAATAAATAATATAGCCTGATGTGCTATCGACTGTACTTGTCGATCAGTACCCTACTCACGGGCGCAGGTGTGTTGATAGTTGCTTGCCCGACCTCTCTTCAAGACCACTACTACTGACTACTCTTAATATTGTGTTTTTGCAGGTTTCTTTAGCTATAGTGGCTATAGGGGGAAAATGTGGCTCAAAACAAAAAAGGATTATTTTAATTTCCCACCTCTTCATAGTTATGTCCATAGATGACATAATTATTATTAGACAGAAGACAGTGTTAAGCTTCAATCACACCAACGCGTGCAGATCGCGGTCGCCAGCGCGATTATAGGCTAATGACAGGTTGTGAGACCCATCATGACAGTCCGCGCGACCTGTCATTGGCCTATGATCGCGCCGTGACCGTTGGTGTGGTTGAAGCTTTAGATAGTGTTACTGAGGCCTATTTATTTTTAGTTGGTTGCAATATTTTTTCTTGAGCCAAATTGCTCTCTAGGGCTATTATAGTAACCTGCATCTACGTACGTAAAACTTTAACAAAATAACTTTTTTGCCCTAAACTTTTTTTTGGATAGTTGGATATTCAGAAATAATTCCTTACAGAATCTTAACTCATAAAAATGATTTTATAAAATAAATTACATATTGTACAAAAAATACAAGTAGGCAAGTATAGGTAACGAAAATCCGTAGTAATGCTTGGAGTTCCAGATAAACGAGTACCTATTTTAGTATCTCGAGTTGATTGATATGGGTAGCTATATATATACGAGAATCGATTAAAGAGTATCGAAAGAGAAAAAAACGTTTGTATCTTTGTAAACATGTTTGTAGGAGAGCATCCCTGGACGTTCTACGTCAAGTCTGACAACACAACACTATTATCCTTTTAAAAACCAACAATCATTATTCAAAGTTATCTATTGTATTAGTTATTGTATCCATATCTTGATTTTTGTAATAATAATCAATTTTTAAAAGATACACTTTTTATCCCCAAATTCCGAGAAGCGAGCAGACCAGCAGGAAATTTATCAAAATTTCTGTCTAGTCCAAATTTGTCATTTCCACCAACATTGTTTAAGATGATTGTCACTTACCCACTGTTGACAGTAATTATATTCCCTAAACTCCAATTTAAACGTTCAAAAACATCCCCCGTCCAATCAAATTATCCAATTAACCAATCAAATTTAAACTACCTAAACGTCCCTTGAGCGTGGAGGTTCCGAATCTAATCTGGTTTTAATTAAATTTTTTGTTTGAACATAACTTACGAGACCTTCCGGTAGATGCAGATCACTTTTAGGGAATAGATTGTTATTATTTAAATTATTATTATCAACAATTATCGAAACAGCATCATCATCAGGTCATTTGGACTGGAATTCGCTGCCTGCTGCTGTCTTTCCCGAAGACTACAATCCGGGCCTTTTCAAAGCGAGAGCAAGAGTGAATAGGCACTTATCATCAACAGCCCTTTACAGTCCACTGCTGGACTATGAGCCTCCTCCACTATAGTGGAGGGTTTTGCCATAATCTCCACGCTAGGCAGGCGGGTTGGAGATCGCAGTTTAAAAGATTGATGTTTTTCAGAGAGCGCTGCTGCCCATTCTCTGTTTGATGTGTAGTCCCTAAGTCGCCTCTTACGACACCCGCGGGAAGAGTAGGGGTTGGTGACAAATGTATTCTACTCTGCCGTCACCATCCTAGACTGCACCCCACTTAACATCAGGTGCGATTGTGGTCAAATAACTGCCTTGTTAGGCATAAAAAAATTGTCTCTATTGCAGGAGCACGACTCTCTAATTTACCAGCGGTGAATGGAGCTTTTATTGGGCTACGCTCCCAGTGCTGGCCAGAAGAGTTGGGAAGGCCTGATGTTCGCTTTTTTTGTTCCTTATTCGCCTTTTACGATGTCCAAGATAGAAGTTAGTTTGGTTCTATTCTTCTTTGCAGGAACCACACATTCTTATAAGGCGCCATTAAGTTAGAAATTCATCAAATCTAATATGGCACTTTGGATAGACAACTGGCAAAACTATACAAAATTGTTTTCTTTATTGAAATAGCATCTATCCAGCTACATAGTCTGTCCGCAGCACTATTAAATTTAGTAGTATTTGATATGGGGCTCAACAAACAATATTAATTTGAACTAACTTTTGCGCACTGGGTCATCAATCAAACGGAATGGGAATAAACTCGTTCGAAGACAAATTACACCTACAAGTTGGATATTGATTTATTCGAATTCTGCGTAGTGTTAGTTATAACTTATAATCAAATTAGTGTTCAGGCAAATGTACTCTTATTAATTAGTTTCCAAACAATTTAGGTACACGTGTTCAATTCAACACGTTATGAATACTGTGAATAGTAATTTTCTTGGCTTAAACTTGGTGCTTGGAAACCTATTTACACGAGCTATGCTCCAATTTAAAGTTAGGGATACATAGACACTACAGAATTACACGAACATTGGTTATACATTTTACCTTATTATAGTAGTAGGTAGTAGAATAATAGGAAGTTTAAACAATAGCAGCGTTAGGCGAAATTAATCCGTGAGAGAATTCTTTCTGACTACTGGATATATTGGACCGAGAAAACTGTTCAAAATTACATAATATAACATAATGTTATTATAATTGTTAGAATAATAATACTAACAACTGTTTTAACAATTTTAAGACGCCACAGTGTTAAAAAATCAAATCAATCTTTATTTTCCATAAATAATTTTGGCGTGCTTTTCAAAATACAATCATTTTCAATTATGTGAAATACAAGCTAGTACATCTGCATTTTGGGTTCCATTTTACATTTGTATTTACCTCAAGTTATGAACATGAAGCATGAAGGCGCTGGATGCAGGCCGCTACCAACCGTGCGATGTGGAAGTCATTAGGGGAGGCCTATGTTCAGCAGTGGACGTCCTGTGGCTGAAATGATGATGATGATGAACGTGAAATAAATTGAAATATTATTATTACTCACTTAAAATCTCCCTTTTTGCAGATAATCGGCCGCCATCTCCGAGAACAAAGAGCTAGGAACAAGAACACGGCGGTTTCTCTCCTGGACTGTGCTTTGCGAGGAGTCTCCGCGCTGTCCACTGCTTCCGTGTCGGAGCTGGCCGGAGTGGGACTTCATGGGCTGGTCATATCCTCGGGGGACATACGGAGGGTGCAGCAGGGAGCGTTCAATAGCGTTGCGGCTACGCTACTGGCTTTGGGTAAGAAGTTATTTTGTCTAAAGTGGAGGCCATACTTGTAGAAATTCATAGACAGCTCGAGAAGAAACTATTTTGGTGTAGGATGCGTCCTTGCTCGATGGAATGGTGACTTAAAATATAGCTAGCGCCAAAAATCATGAAAAAACTGCGAGTTAATCGTGCTCCTTGAGGGACAAATTTTAATACCTAATTATTGTTTTAATAATATCTTGAGAATTAGGTTATCACAACTATTTATTGGAAAGGAAAGGACTTTTACATCACATATTATTTGTAGGTATAATTAATTCATCTTCTTTTTGTTTTTCCTACTTAAAACTGTTCAGCAAAGATTCTCGGCTACACAAATAGACAACTGCAAAAAATTCAGGACATTTAAAAACAGTATATTTACTCGACTGCGCCAGAAGGAGAGTTATGTTTTCTACTTATTATGCTACGGCACTGTCGTCTATTAGATACTTTTGTGATGCCTTCTTATTCTTCCTCGGCCCCTCACTAATGAGGATCACGACCACTTAATATAGTGTTCCTCCACAGACTGCGGTCATAAGCTGTGTGAATCGTCTGACCACCTCGTCATCTGGTTGAGATGCCTAAAATTAATTAATGATTGTCTTTCTGTTTCGGACATTCTGATTGATAATCTTTATAATAAACTATCGGCCGCCCGCGACTTCGTACGCGTGGATCCCGTTTTATCCCCTTAGGGGGCGTCCATAAATTACGTGAGACTTTTAGGGGGGGGAGGGGGTCAACGAAAACCTCACTAAATCTCACGTGGGGGAGAGGGGGGGTCTTGGAAAATATCACGTAATTTTTCCCACAAGAAATAGAGTAAAATTGCCAGAAAATTGGGTTATTGAAGTAAAAAAAAAGATTTTTTTTATGATGATAATGACAATTTATTCTAAACCGTCTAACTAAATTAAACTAAAAATGCCTCCATCTGCATTTGTGAATACTAAAGATGCAGAATAAATGTCGAAATTAAGAAAATTCGAAATAAAAAAAAAACGTCATCAGCATCGCTATTGCGTAAAAAATTGGCCAAGTGCGTCTTGTCTGTCGTTACCACAATATATTTCAGAAGCAAAGCAATTACTTCATCTAAAGTCACTTTTCTTATTTTCTTCTAAGGATTTCTTACTGGTTAAGAACTTGTATAATACATGAGTCAAATGACTATTACTCTTAAACTAAGTAATGTATCTTAACCGTTATAGTTTTCCTTGAAAAAAATTATCCCTACTTTACATGCAGGGGCTACCCTAGATTTTTTTCAATATTTTATTTTACCGTTTTGTCGGCGTGATTAATATACATACCTTCACAAAATTACAGCTCCCCAGTGCCAATATTTTCCAACCGAAACCTTGGACAGACAGACAGACATATCGAAACTATAAGGGTTCCTTGTCAGGACTACGGAGCCCTAAAAAATGACATTACATACGTGTGAAAATATTATGTATTCGTATTTAAAGTAACCAATAGTGAAATTTGACAGATGTCAAATGACAAGTGGTTAAATAACAGAAAAAAATGTTTTTATAACAATGTTTAACTTGACTTTTAGTACATTTTTAAACTATTAGTTTACATTTTATTAATATTTAACCATTAGTAGCAAAATTTAACAATTAGTTATTTTAACTATGAATCAAAAAACTGGTCGAAGGTTGAAGCAATTGCTTGTCTTACTAAACGACGGGAAGCTACGGAACCCTGCACTGCGCGTGGCACGAGCACGATACTGGGTTACTGATTTTTTCATATAAATCTAATAGACTCGAAGCATAGACATTGCAAAATAGGCATTTTATTAAATATCACGTGAGATTAGGGGGGTGGGGGAGGGGGTCAGGCAAAATCTCACCAAATCTCACCATGGGGGGCGGGGGGGTTGAAAAATGGCCAAAATTGTCTCACGTAATTTATGGACGCCCCCTTAGGGGTGGAGTTTCATAAAATTCTTTCTTAGCGGATGCCTACGTCATAACTTCTACCTGCATGCCAAATTTCAGCCCGATCCATCCAGTGGTTTGGGCTGTGCGTTGATAGATCACTATGTCGGTCAGTAAACTATGAGTTATATTTAGAAGAATAATCGAATTGGTATGGTGAATGTTACTACCTGAGTATAACTGTTCCAAACTGTACTCGTAATTACGACTAACATACTGAACCCTAGCTGTGTTACGAAACTGGAAACCCCGGGGGAAATGTACTAATGTAGGAAACCAAATGTAGGCAATTAGGTAAATATGTGTCCCAATTTATAACGTTTGTAGAACTTCTCGTGCTTTATTGGTTCAAAGTCAGTATATTTAGACTGTTTGTCAAAGGTGGATTAAGAATAATGAGGTAGGTTAATGACTAAATTAATGCGATTGCTATTTTTACTCGTTATAATATTGTTATTTTTGGCCTTAGTGGTTTGCGAATCTCATTAATGCCAGCAGGGTTTGCGTATTTAAATCATATGCTCTTAATCACAGTTATGAAAGTTATTTACTTATTTTAGGTTGGTTTCATAAATGTAACCATGCACTGCACGTAACATCAGGGTAGGTGTTTATCATAAATTATTTTGGAATTTTTTTCAAGGACTACAACAAATTGGTTTTAGTAACTATAACATTATCTGTGGTATAATTGTAACCTATTTTTAGATACTTTTAAAATTCAGCATTGTGTCATGAGAAAAGAACTTTTCCTAATACAAAAGCTACAAAACTAGTTTTATTTCCAGGTCTGCCAAACAACCAATTGCCGTCGGTGCCTACGGAGGCGTTGACGCGTCTCTGGAATTTGGATCGTCTGGATTTATCCAACAACAAAATCCATACTTTAGACACAAATTCCTTCAAGGTAAGTGAAATTCAGAGCTCATTTTTCAATACTTACCGATTTGTTCACGAAAATGTAGTTCAATTTTTCATTTTGGTCCGGATCTTACAAAAACAGTTTTTATCAATACTGTTTGGCCTGAGACCTTTTAATAAAATATAATAACAGATATGAAATCAGTAAATAGAAGATTATTACCTAAATACCTATATTCTACTTATCAAAAAAAAAAACCCTTAAGACGCTTCAACGCGTCAAAAAACAGAAATGAAGAAAGGGACAAATTGTATTACTTTTATACGTAGGTAAAAGTTTTCACAGTACTAAGAAGTCAATAAATAGGTTATCTAGGTAAATGGAAATACTGAAATGGACACCTTATGAAGTTATCTTACAATACTGGCCAGTGAATAATGTAATAATAATAAAATTCCTTTGTTGGAAGTACACCACACCAAAAAAGAAAGCAATAAATACACAAAAGTACCATAGTTAGGCAGTCATATTCCTATGAATGAAGCGATCTCCAGACCTATGATAGGACAAATTGAGTTTAATATAATAATAATAACTTCTTTACGCTATTTTACACTTTGCAGGGCATCCAGAACCTGACTTACCTGGACATAAGTGATAACCAGTTGACGAATATCTCGCCAGATGCATTTAAACCGCTAATTAAGATGGCGGTCCTGCGGCTTCGAGGGAATCTTCTTAAAGTACCCGCTTTGGCTTCGTTGAAGGTAATTGGTTTTTAATGAATTTAGTTTTTAATGAGTAGATCATTAAGATTCATTATTTAAAGAGAGGCGACTTAGTGCTTTTATTGTGAAAGTATAGTAACACGTTGGGCGACACTATTGATGCGGTTGCTAAAGGACGTAGCTCAATCAATCAACCCGGAAAGGGATCGTAACCGTATCAACTCAAGGCAGTCAGTATTCTTTGTATTAAACTCCATACGCACACTTATCCGTACCGTAACGTAAACGCCCCGCCTCGCGGTTGACAGAACGCGAAAGGCGATGACAGCTCGCTAAAGGCGATACGGTGTTGATCCCTTTCCGAGTTGATAAATCTGCTATGACCTTTATTCGTCACTAAAGTTGCATAAAGCGCCTCTATAAGTTACATCAAATGAGACACACCTATTTGCTAGCAATAGAGACGAATCGTTGTTATTATCCATTAATATATACAGTGTGTTCTTATAAAACATATTAGAAATAGGCGCCTTCTATTTATTTTGCTATAATTCCATTGTAATTTGCTCGAAAAGCCCAAAGTGTGTGGGAGTATTTTTTTATAATAAACGTTATTAGAGAGACAATATTGTTAGACACACACTTCGATAATTATATCAAAATACTTTTTTCTCTGAAATATTCGAACCATATCGCGAATTGAAACAAAAGAAAATGATATTATTTTATTAATTAAAACCGTTTGATCATAAAATGGATTAGGCGTGGTGTCGTAATTGACAGTAGTATCACACCGAATTAGTTATAGTTTGATGAGTACAAGGCGTCAATATCTAAACTAATACCATCAAACTATAATAGGGCGAAACCAATCAAGTAGTCGAACGATCAAGGATCCAGATTGCTATATTATCTTCGTACATGTTCTTAGCACATCCCATTAAACATGGGCCCGGCGCGTTATCTTCATTAATAGCTCTTTTTGGCCCCGTTTCTTAATTAACGACCCGAAATACTTATAAGACCATTATTGAGAAATGTAATGGATAATAAATTGGTAAGTGAGAATTAATTGTGTTGGGTTTTATAACATTTTGTTGTAAAGCTATCTTTGAAGAATAAGCGCAGACAGTTACTTTGACCAGTACAATACTGTGATATTTATTATGAAATGCCATGTATCAATTAAGTAACAAATGTATGCAAAAGCACGATAAAATAAAATTGTATAACCACATTGAAAATTGCACCAAAATTTACAACACCACGTTGGGCGCCAACTTTTTGATTGGCGCCCAACGCGTTGTTCCGAAATAGTCGAGTGTCCGGCGTTGCGACGCAATAAACCAGCTGTCATTATTTCCCACAATAGGAAGCTCACGTGTTAAGGGACTTGGACCTCTCGAGCAATGCCCTGGAGGGCCCACTCGGCCCCACTACCGTGCCCGCTATAAGCTGCTTGACCAATCTGCAATTGTCTGACAATACTTTTGCTAGTATACGTCGAGGCGCTTTGTCAGGTAAGTGTTTTTATTTCTTTTCCCCGCTTTAACAAGACAGAGTGAAACAATTTTGAAGCTGTTCTAGTTCTTTGAGACTGTAAGAGGATTTATTTGTTGAAAAAGCAGTCGCTTTGATTTAAGTAAGGCAGCGGGATGTCTGCTTTGTAAAGAACAAAGATGTTGATGCTATTACGATAATGAAACGGATATTATGAATGTAAAAGGTAAATGTATATTGGAAGCTATTAAATTGCGATGCTGTTATTTTATTTATAAAACTATTTTTATACTTTGTTGCGCAAAAGCACGAAAGGTTTTATTTCAGTTTCAGCATTTAGCTTAGTACGAGGGGCTAACGGGAATATTAGTAATTTGTGCAAAAATAAATTACTAATAATCTTTTTTTAAGAAAAAAAGTTATACCTTCTTTGGGCACATTATAATATTAGGGTTTATTTATTATCCTTGACTTAACAATAAATAAAAAGACAAGGAAGCAGCCCTTAAAATTATTTAGATATTTCTGTCGAATGATTTACAGAATACCTATCATTTGGTTACCTACGATATTTTTTCCAATAGCAAATTTTGTTTTATCGCCTCTTCCTTAGTTTGATTTAAGTTAAGATTTATTCTATTGTATTTGGAAGCTTGTTAATTATTTACAATTAATTTATGTTTATTTCAACAGGGCTGACGAATCTCACATACCTGAACTTACACAACAACCAGATAGACGTGTTGGAGGACTTCGCGTTTCGTCATCTCACGAACCTCTCCCATTTGGACTTGTCACATAACGAGATTGTGGCTGTTTCAGGTAACTTTTGCTTTTGTTTTTTAATAACTTGAAAAAATGGAATTGCCTAAGATGGGAATTGAACCCACGATCCTTCGCTTTCCAAGTCCTTATTGTCATCTGAGCTACTTAGACATTCAGCGAACCCGTGTTCGGGTGATTGCAAAAATGAGTAGGTAATAGTTCTTGCAACTCACGAAGGCGAGTGAGCTTTACTTGTGTGTGTACGTGTACATGCACTTATCGATAGTGTAATGTCTGTCAAAACGTTTGAAAAACGAACAGTAGCGAGCCACTACATAAATGTATAGCTCATCATCATCATTTTAGCCACAGGACATCCACTGCTGAACATAGGCCTCCCTCAATGATTTCCATATTGGTCAGTTGGAAGCGGCCTGCATCCAGCGTCTTAATTGCAATTTTTTTTTTGCAATTGATAATTAGCTTTCAAAAAATCTTAATGACCTCAATACAGGTGAAATTATAAGAATTGAAACGTTAATCACAGATATCATTTTGTGCTTGTATCTATTTAATTACATATTTATTTTTCCTGGAATATTTAATTACTGAATTTCTTTATTGTTTGCTGTTCTAGCATTTTGTGCTTGACAGGTCGAAAGATCAAAGCTTTTTATTAATATTTTTAGTAGTAGCTCGGTATTTAATTTCCGGGATGAAAAATATAGAGCATTGCCACAAAATATGAGGCTTATTCGGTTTTGTATTTCAATCGGAGATACGAGTAAAATGTCAATAAATAAACGATTTGACATGTTACGCTTGGTAGCGCTGTGTTGAACAAACAGTGTCTATGTTTTTAACCTAAGTAAGAGATTATGTACGAGTACATGAATAAATTGTTAAATTATGTCAGAATTGCCAAACATAAGTGGCAGTGGGCTGGGCTCATGGCTCGTAGAATTTATGACCGTTGCTTTCTTGATGGTGGTCACGGGCCTGAAGACGTAATATCGACTGTCCGTTGAGGCAAAAATTTCTCGAGTGGCGACCACAAGCCCGAGGACGGAATATCGACAGGCCTCCCACTCGGTGAACCGATGACTTGGTGTATGCGTGCAGCGCAAGACTGGTCGCTGTGTAAAACTTTTTGGGAGGCCTTTTTCCAGCAGACGAAGTCTTTCAACTAATATGTTACTGGTTTGTTTATAAAATACTGTATTGTTTCTCAGGTGCCTCCCTAGCTACCCTGGACAACTTATCTCACCTGGACCTGTCTCACAACTTCCTCCGGTCCCTCTCGGCGGATCCTCTCAAGTCTCTCAAGAGTCTTCGTGAGCTGTTCCTTCACGACAACGACATTTCTATGATCGACGATGGTGCTCTCTCGCAGCATAAGGAGTTGGCCAGGTTCACTATTGAAGGTAAGAACATGATCATAGTTATTAGAAAGAACGAAACATTTGTTGCATACAAAGACAAAAAGGCACAGAGAAATAATAGACGAAAGTAGCATAAAAGCATTAGGAAGGAAGAAAGTGTACTGAGCAGTGCCATCTTCTCGCAATTGGACCTCACTCAGTATAATTATGTCTTCGTTCGTCTTCGTATGGCCTTCGTCACCGTGAGCCACGACGCTGGCTTTCAGTGTACCCCAATGATTATTTAAAAATAAAATGATTAGATTATGATCAAACTTTGGTAGAGTGTTAAAAGATGTGCCATTTCAATGCATGCTGTCCATTTTAGCTAAAACTTGATAGTTTCATATAGACTGCATTGTGTTTCCGCGTGCCGACGCCATATTTAAATACGCTTAAAATTATAGCATGTTCTTGCTTTTTATGTTCATATTACATACTTATGTACTGTATTTAGTTTATCACCAATTCCTTCTTTGAGTTCCGCGCCTAGGTCCGCAAGGTACTATGAAGTGGCCTAAGGGCGTGTTCGCACGATAATCCAGTTTTACGGGATCCGTAAAACGTGACTGTCGTGTGAACACATATTCGTGTGTTTGAATTTCGAAATTCAATTTTTCACGGTTTTTGTGGGCACTACAATATACGTGTGAACGTTATTATTAAAACTCGTATTCTACGAAACGGGATCCTGCAAAAAACGGGATTTCTCCATGGGAACAAGGCCTAAGGGCGTGTTCCCACGACAGGGTCGTGTCTATGATCGATGGTAGAGCCTCTTTGGCTCACTATTGAAGGTAATAGCGATACCATGATTGGCAGTTTGGGTGGACACAGTGCTATGTGGAATAGGCAACCGACTCTCCATTGAAACCCAAATATTCTCCTACCTACATTTGTAGTTAATTAAGTTATTTGAAAAGATTCTATGACATAAAAAAAGATTCTGTCATTGATGACAAAACTTGTTCATAAAGGTGAACTTATTGCCAAAGAATTATCTGCCAGTTAACCTTCCAGCTAAAGCAGTCTATCTTATACACATTCAGTGCTATGAAGTTAACTTTTTTTTGTATAGCGCTGCAAAAGGCACCCACTGAAAATCAGTGTCTTGGCAGTCACACTGTCAAGATATTACTGAGTGGGTGACCTTTTTTGGCAACTTAGTTATTATTTTTTTGTGTAGATATGTCTATGTTGCCTGAATTTGTTGTTGCCAAAATAAAGTTATTTTCTTTCTTTCTTTCTTTCTTTCTAACACGGTTCTCGGTCTCAAATGAATTCTGTAGTTAGTTCTGTTTTCACAATCAACTACTTACTTATAATCGATGATGATGATGCCCGTTTTCACAATCAGTCCCCAATTTTTAAGTGACCCATATGGTAAAACATAACAGGAATTTTGTTTTCAAAGTTTTTCACATAGTATGATAGTATACGCAAAATCAATTCGCTAACGAGTTGAGGTGAGACGCCAGACAGTAATAATAATAAAGAGTTTTATTTTTTCAATATAACATAAACGATTTTTTATTCTAATATTTTCTAAAATTTCTCAGAAACAACAAAACAGCGTAACTTTCATTATAGCTATTGGAACAGGACTCCCAAAAACTGTCCCATTGTTCGCCGCCCACGCAGGCCGTGTGTCCCCGGATATTTGTCGATATCGAACATTTTCATTGAGAGTAGCCCCCAAAAGCCTTTGTGTAGACCGCTTTATTGTGCCATGACTCTTATTCACGTTGCCCTATTCTATTTATGAGGTTTTTTCATTTGAAAGTGCTGACATATGAAAGGTTTTCGTGCGGAAATCTAGGCCTTATGCTCGATTTCAACATCAATCCCTAATTTTTAAGTGACCCTCATGGTAACACAACAGGAGTTTTGCGTTCATAGGGGTCACTTAAAAATTAGGGATTGATGGTGAAAACAGGCATTAGTCTGAAGTGTTCGAGTGTTAATTCATAGGTGACTGGAGAACAGTAGGGAAATGTTTTCGTTTTAAGCGTAACCAAAGGACTAAAGAATCTTAGTTTTATTATCTGCTTTCGCCTCTTAAGGACTTTTCACATTTCATTCATAATGGTGTTCCGAATACTCGTACCAATTTTCAGTTGTATAGGTTGATATCTTATTTGAGGGTATTCACACTTTCACAGTTCATCGTGAAAATGTTAAACAGGCATTATATAATATATGGAAGATTATCTAATTACGTAAACATATAATACGATGAAATAACAGTACCTACACTAAGATGGCTTTTAATAGTAAATCCTCTTAAACGAATTTAATATTACACGAGTACTTATTTCTGTGAACTCGCTTAATTGGGAAAACTAAATATTGTGTAGCCGACTTCGAATAGGCTTGGGATATAATATGTTCGTGACATTTGGAAAATGTTTTCTATGCTATTTTGAATATAATAATATGAAGGTTAGAGGTCAGGTTGTAATTCAGTCAGAATGTCAATTACCTGTAAAACCTACCTAAGGTAAACTTGTATAAAAGGGCGTTATAGATCGCCTACTTCTCTCTTGTGGATTGGGAAACTTTGGAAAAATATAGTCGTGACACCCAAAGTGACCAAAATGTGGTCAACCCAACCATATTTCATTGTAACAAATACGTAATGCGAACTTTTTGACTACTTTGGGTGTCACGAAGTTGACGTTGACTGCACCTACTTAATGTATTCCATCCAATCGATTACCGAACCACCAAGACGACAATGTTTTAGACTAGGCGCAGACCATCGATTTTTAGTTGGCCGATAGTTGGGCCCGATTTTAATTTGTATGAAGAATCGGATAATCAAATCGGTGTAATGTGCGCACTTCCATACATGCCCATATTGCCCATGCTGATGAACTGCCCGACTAAACTATCGGCCGCCGAAAAATCGATGCTCTGCGCCTTGGCTGTGTCATTGACAGTTCTTGTTATTGATAATAGTAATATTTTCATTTTATAGACAATCCCCTGAATTGCGACTGTCTGATGGCCGGCTTCGCTAGATGGCTTCGAGACGCAAACAACTTGCTACAAACTGACAAGTCAGCCGCAGTTTGTACCACACCCCCACACTTGGAAGGCGCCCTCATCTCCCGACTCTCCAAAAACAAGCTCTGCGACGATTTCGAAACGAAAATCAACAAAGACGATCCGAACTACGATTACAATAAAGTCATAGCGAATACCATAGATGTACAAGACAAATACGTAGATGTAGAAACGACTGTGCAAGATTTGTACATAGACAAAACAGAAGGATTGGACGACGATGTGTATGATGGGGAGTTAGAAGTACCGTCCGAAGAGGATCTTCCTATTTCTAAATCTAAGGTAATTGATGAAATAAAATTACCATAAATGAAGTAACGGATAGTTGATAAGTTAGTATTGACACGAGAGTCAATTTACAATGTTGTTATCAACACTGATAAGGGCAATTATAAAATAGGTAGGATGTAAATAAACTGACCTGTAAAAACCTGATTGACAGTAATTAAATCTCATAATAAAATTATAATCCTAATTCTTTCAAGACACGTTAAAAGGCAGAGGTCATCCCAGAATCTTCTGGGCCAACCAATCAAGTGTTTTAAGACCAAGTCTACTTGAAAAATTATGTTATTACCTTCCTGACTAGATATAAGTTTGCTTGATGTGATGGTTCTTAAAACTACATCTTCCATTTTAAAAAGGTCCGTCTCCTGGATGCTTGGTACGATGACGAAGAGGTTTACCTATCCTGGGCGGTGGATCCACCCTCCACCAGACGCTTCCGATGCACCGGAGTGACGGCATCTAGAAGTGGAGGTCTTCCAAAGCACGTGGCTTGCCACAGAGCCGCACCAGCGAATATCCTGCTGAGGGGACTGAAGATTAACCCAACGGAACAGTATACGTAAGTACCTACTATAGTGTTTTGTTATAGCGTACTTTGGACACTGTTTAAATCACAGATATAGATATACCTAGATAACGCGAATGCACCTACTTCGCGTGTCCCGATCCCGATAAATCATCGGAATGAGCTGCCGCTGCTTACAGTCCACGCGCGTCTGTTGTTGCATGCGGACGGCCGCGAAAACTAGAAAAATGCCTCAATGTGTGATAATTAATTGCAATAAGCCAAAAACTTCGAGCTCCCAAAGGCAAGGACATATTTCCTATCACGGGTAAGTTATTTTAATATTATATTGAGTGTTAATTCATTTTAAAACAATTTTTTAAGTATTACAAGCGTTGGTTTCAAGAATGTACCTAAAAACTTATAACTTACCATTCAAAAAATTTTTTACGATACATTGCCGGGTTTGTTTTGAGCGTTTGATCTGACGTTATGTGTTAAGAGGCGATGTATAACGAACAAGCGCCACTGTCGCGCATCGCTTCGACTTCGTTGTACACGCAACTTCTCATTCGTCTGTAAAATTTTGCTACTAGTGTTGTTCGTTCTACTACTTTTATCAATAATCGATTCTTATCGATATCGGACAGACGAATGATACTAATTATTATTAAAAAATAACTCTCATATACGAGTATAAATAAATATTCTAATTAATGTGTATTTGTAGTATTTATTTGTCTTTTTTTTTCCTAGTTTTCGATTTAAAAAAAAATGAAGATGATAATGGATTAAAGAAACACCACAACAACCTCTATTGTTGTCAAGGAAGAGAAAATTAGAAAAAGTATAGTGTAGATATATGTATTTTCATGTAAAAGTACATAATAATGTGTGTACATACATATAAGAAATAATGATCTGCTGATGATGATGTAGATTGTAGAGAAATGAATACAAGTAGTGTACGTGATTTTGATGATTTTTATAAAACATTGCCACAAATAACAGAATTTTGTGACCAAATAATCACATAATATTGATGGATATGTTATAAGAGCAATACAAAATATCTACGAGGCACCGTTGTCGAGATATTGATATTTTGATAAAAACTTAAAATGTATTTTATTCACTATTTAAAGTAAATATAACATATTTTATGTTTTTATTAATACGGAATCGTGTCTAAAATTAGCCTTTTAGAGTTATACATTTTTATTTAAAATTCAATGAAAATATTATCTATTTAAACATTCCGTTTAATATCATTCGTCTGTATATCTCATTCGTCTGTCAGATAATCGATGCCTTTTCTGTGATCGTAGCGGTGCGTTGGGGCAGCGGCGGCATCGGCATCTTTGAATCGATTACGATTTCCCGTCACTAAATGTTGGCTGTGACGTCACAGTAGGTATTAAAAAGTCGGCACGCTTGGTTTTAATACAGATCGTGCTACTTGCGTTATCTATGTATATCTATATCTGTGGTTTAAATGGAGTGATTTTAAATTGGAAAGTGACTGAGGTAGCAGCTGCAAGAGGATAAGAGGGAATCTTATTCGATTTGGTGTAATCTGCTGATGATGATGACAATGATCAGAATACGAAAGATTTACTTTATTACAAATCTCAATATTAGTGTTTTTTCTATTTAATAATTAGGAGGAGTCAAGTAAGAAGTGTATTGTAACTCATAAAGAGTTTCCGCCTCATTAGCATACGAAGGGCAGATCAAATGACTAAGGCCCGATTTTATCCGAGAATAACTCCTGGTATAACTGGCACATTGACAGTTTCAGTATGGGAATCAAAATGTCGAATAATAATAACTGACGATTTATTCTGAGAAAATTGAAATAGAAAAGATCCGGTGTTTAGTGTTTTTTTTATTATCCTCCAGGTTCTGCATAGCCCTCGAAGAGATGGACAGTTCGGACACTCCGCTTTCTTTGGTGCTAGGCTGCGGTGCCCCCCAGTCGGTCCGGCAGCGAGCCACGTTTGCTACGGTGCCCCCCGTGGCGGTCACTGAGCCAGTGGATCGGAGTCACTTGAGGTAAGATTGAAGGTTGAAGGTTTACTTTGATTAACATATTCATCTACGATACGATACGATCGCGATACGATAGTGCAGACCCAGCTTGCTTGTTCCGGTCAAACCAGCATACCAGGTGGCACGATTTTAAGGAAAGACACGCTTTGGGATGGGAGAGGACGGCCGACTAGCCACTGCGTCTTTAAACTGCGCTAGAATAATAATGATTTTTACTTTCTTTAAAAAATTCTGTAAATAAATAGCACTTGGAAGATATTACTGAAAGGACTGATACCTAATTAAAATGCAATTTGTAACTAAATTATATTTGTGAGCAATGGATAAGCTGTTGATGATGATGATGATGGTAATAATGTTCGGTTCTGCCTGTATTGAAATAAAGTAATGGTTATAATGCCAAAATAATGATGATCGAAAGTAGTTGTTCTAGGGAAGAAATATCAGACGTTTGTTAGGTACACAAGAATCCGATATGCAAAGTGTTTATTTTTTATACAAGTACATGGGAAATTACATATTATTTACTTTGTATATTAATTCGATACGCCAGGCGTGCAAAAGATAAAATATGGGTAATTACTAATGGATAAATTATCTTAGTTCAAAGATTTAATTCTATTTATAAATTAAGTCGGTGATACTTACTGAATAATGATCATTACTTTTTGAAGTATTAAAAGAAAGAGATAACACTCAAGGTGATGTTTTGAGTCTACGTAGAATGTCTAATTTTATTAATATAAATGTTAATAATGATCATTGTCATTATCACTTAAAAATTAACTAAAACGTTGCAACAAGCGCAACTTTGGATTGTATTTCTAAGTTTATGAATAAAGGTATAATTATAACCTTTGAATCTCTTTGTTCCAGGGTCTCCGAAGTCCGATCCAACGTCACCAGCGAAGGTGTTCTTACAGTCCTCATATCACTCATGGGCATTCCGCCTCCTCGTTCCCAATTCTCCATCAGATCCCAAAGACTCTCCCCAGAATCCCGGTACCCTCTATACAACTGCTACGTCATCCTTGCTGTACTCTCAAGAGGGTCTTTAGTAGCGCAGAAGGATACCCCATGTAAAGAAACCCTGGAGATTTCAATGGAGGGATTCATTCGAGGGCCGTACGAAGTATGTGCCACAATATCTAAGTTCAAACCAGAAGAAAGAACACCAATTTGCATAGTCCCTCAAGATATAGATGTAACTGGATCTTTAGAAATGAAATCTGGTATCAAAGGTCTGAATACAGCGCTAGTAGGAGTAGCTCTAGGTTTGATGGTTATAGTAGTAGGTCTGGTGTGGTTTGTTAGGAAAATGCTGAAGAAACCAAGCGAGTTTGAGACCCACAGATGTTTTAGGCCTGAACCGGTGCCGGAGGAGAATGCGCGGTCAAGTTATGTCATGCTGACAGCCACTTCCAAGGTTTAGATGGACTTAAATCTGATGGAAGACATTTTATTGTTCAATGAGGTGCTAAAAGTAATAAAATTTGAAGTCTGATTTTGTGAAATATTAACCTCATAGTAACAGATTATTTTCGTGTAATACGACTACAAAATCGTACTATGAAAGGGTTGTGCCCATTTGCCACAAAGTCAACTGGTCACAGAAAATCTCGTTTAAATTCTTATGTTTAAAAGTATGGCGAATGCCATACTTCATATTTGTCAATATCATGTGTCATCTTCATACTTACAAAAGTGTGGTAAATCGACAGTAACTCCAATGAAAATGTATGGCGTTGCTTCAAATTGAGCATGGAAATCTACTTTTAGATGAAAATACGATATACAAAGGATACTAATTGTAGTTGACTGTCTAAAGGTCATAGCAGACTTATCAACTCTCATCGTCTTTCGCGAGCTGTCAACCGCAAGGCGAGGCGTTTACGTTACGGTGCAGATAAGTATGCGTTGCAGTATGGAGTTTCATACAAAGAATACGGAGTTGATACGGTTACGATCCCTTTCCAGGTTGATAAGTGTGCTGTGTACTTTTAGATACATATTGGAAAAGTTAAAAATTGGTATTGTAACTTGTTTTTGTTATGTTAATTGCTAGTCTGAACGATATTTAATATCTTATTAAATAGATTGGATATAACATTATGATGTTAAGTAATTGTTTGTAAAGTAATAACGCGACATTAATGTTAAGTGAGTGATTAAAGTGGTTCCCCACTTTATCAATTTCTATGTAATTATAATTGTGAACGTACTTAACAAGAATATTTTGTTTAATATTTTGTGTTTTTAAAACCTTGATTCTGTTAATAGTCGTTCTTACCAAGAAATCATTATCAATGTAAGGTTCACGTATAATGAGTACTACAATTTGTATTTAATATCACCTTATGTCCACTTTTCAAAAACCAGTCAAAATTAAGTAAACATAATTGATTATACATAATATCTTCAGTCCAAACAACCCTATAAATTTTTGAGTATATTCGATTTTCAAAATATTTTTTTTAAGCGCAACGTAGGACGTGGTAGGACGTCCATCCACAATGTGAGCTGACGACCTCATAAAGGTAGCAGAAAGGCGCAGGATGCAGGCCGCTACCAACCGGTATTATTGGGGGAGGCCTATGTTCAGCAGTGGACAACTTATGGCTGACATAATGATGATGATGATGATGACGAATGACTTTTAAGTGTGGACAGTCATTATTTTACATTGACCTTTACATAACAAGATTTATCAGTTCTAAGATTTATAAACATTGCTCGTCTGCAATCGAGTTATTTTATCTCGCAAAATTAAATAGAAATCATTAACACTGCAGTGGCAATTAAGATTGGTTTCCAGGAATATTTCTTTTGTGATAAGAACTTTATAAATAAGTAAATTGGATATAGTTTTTCATTGATTTATAAGATTTATATACTTGTTTCTTTTTTTTTAAACTTCGATCAAAACTTGATACTTGATAAGCCCTACTCGGTGGACTGACGACTTGACAGTAGCTGGAAAAAAAAAGAAAAACCGCTTTGTGCCATTTTGGGGGATTTTTAAGTCTAATAGAAAAAGATGATGATGGTGATGAATGTAAAAAAAATCTGACTACTATTTGAGACTGGGTTGCACCATCTTACTTTAACCCTAACATACGTCAACAAAAGTCTGGCCAACTCATAAAAAAAACACCGGTTATGTCACGGTTAAAATAATTATGATGGTGCAATTCAGCCAGAGTCATATAAAATTGACATCATCTTATGGGGCCTTATTTTTTATATCAATGGGTTTCAAAGACAGTATAATTATAACAAAATAATTGTGCAAATTAAAATTCAATACTTTAATGTAAGTGTAGAACGACTGAAAGGTTTATCTTAATTAACAATTGCCTTCTAACAACTAAAAACATATCTTCTGTGAAGACTATTTGGTAAATTACTAAAATTAATAACGCGAGGCTGCTAATATTAGACTTAAGAGTTAGTTCATAACAGAATAATCAAATCAAATCAAATAGTTTCTTCAGTACATAGGCCCTTTCCAGGGCACTTATTCCAAACTAGCGGCACAACTAGCGGCCGCCCACGACTTCGTACGCGTGGATCCTGTTTTACCCCCTTCATCTATCTAGCTTGCCTTAACACCACTTCGGGACAACATATTATGAGCTGTCAATTTTCATTATTTTTTATTATGAGTATAATATAAGAAAGAATCTGGTAGTAAGACTGGCGTATATCCCCGTATTACCTCACAAGGGCCTTTTTCCACGGGCTATCTAGTTTTGCCAAACCAATCAGATCAAAACCGCACTCAATGGTCCACTCCACGAGTGCACAAGAAAGGCTGCAGTGCGGGAGGAATGGCGACGGATTGTGAGGCTTGCCACCGGACCTGGTGTGACGACCACGACCACTCTGGCAAGAGTGTAGCGACGAAGAAGAATATCCAGTTTTGCGGGAAAACTGGGTTGTAGTGTGGACACACGTGTGTGTTTGAAATTCGAATTCCCAATTCGAACGGATCGGTTTTTTGCGGGACACTGCAAACGGGATGTTCATGTGAATATTATGTTAATTAAACAAATACTAAATAAGATGCTGCAAAAAACAGTATGTGTCCGTGGAAAAGAGCCCTTGATCGGTGTATGTTATTTTAAGTACATTTGATGAAAATACATTTAAAGTATTCTGCCATTATCTCTATAATCTCATCGAACACTTAGGTATTTGTTATAAAAAAGATATTATTGCAAGCGTGTTTTTATTTTTATAAGTTTTCGTTTAGAAATTTTATGGAATGCGTTTGTGGTAATTAAGCTTTATAATTGTACTTAGTATTAATTGTAAATTTGAAACACTTTGGCCTTGCTTTAACTAGTTTAAATCGATGTAAATAATAATTTATGAGACGCCATTTTTCTAAATAAAATATTAACAAATTAGCGGCATTATTATTTCCTCTCCCTTTATTACGATATTTCGTAGAAGTCATTAGAAGGTGATTAGTGCCTTTTTCCTATGATGCAAATTTCGGCACGCGTGCGGATCTAGTTCACGTGCTTGTAAAATCACGCTGCTAGTTGCATGCAGGACAAAAATTTCGTACCTATTGTGGGCCCGCAGCCGGCGTCCGCTTAATAGGAAAAATATGTATGAAATATTGAAATGCGGACAGTCCGCATGTGGATCAAAATGGCCGTGCTGAAATCCGCATCATAGAAAAAGGCACTAAGAATGAATTTCACGAACTCAGGTATCGAAAAACCCTTCTGGCCAGTAGCGTGGGGAGTCATGCTCCTGAAGTGGACCAAATGACCTGTTGTAATCCACATAAAACCACAAGTGACGTCAAACGTAGGTCATCATCATCATCATCATCAACAGCCCTTTACAGTCCACTGCTGGACTATGAGCCTTCTCCACTATAGTGGAGGGTTTTGCCATAATCCCCACGCTTGGCAGGCGGGTTGGAGATCGCAGTTCAAAAGATTGACGTTTTTGAGAAAGTGCTGCGGCCCTTTCGCTGTTTGATGTGTAGTCCCTAAGCTAATTCGCCTCTTACGACACCCGCTCGAAGAGTAGGGGTTGGTGACAAATTGTATTCTACTCTGCCGTCACCACACGACTTGGGTATTTCCCTATAAACTCTACTTTCATTAGAAAGAACGTTTGGATTGCTCATCACATATCAAACATGACGATGATGCAACAGCATTATTGGGTTTTAGTCAAAAACTATGCGCAATCGAACAAACAAAATGACCTCAATGGAACTATCACTAAAAATAACATTTATAAACCTATAATCATTAGTATTCAAACAGTCGAATCTTAAGTAGCTAAATAATGAGTAGTTTCCCGAATTCCAAGTCAAATGTCAACGAAAACAATAGGTGATAAGATAGTGATGGGAACACTTGAGTATTAAGTCTAGGACTTGATTTATTTTGGCAATACTTTAGTCTCTGATGAACATAGCTACAGCACTGAAGTTTAGATATCCTTTACAAAGAAAAATGTTGGAAAATAAGGAAACTAGGTCATTAATAAACTGTTCTAGGCACACTTACATTTACGCCTAATAACATTTCAAACCGCGTCCTCAAGTACTTTGTTACTCAGTATTCGTCCCTGTAGGAAGAACCTTTTTGTCTGATTCCGAGAAATAGGATTTCAACAAATTAACTTGTAACTTTATTAACTACAACAATTTATGCTGAATAAGTGGTTAACATTAAATTATTCTGATTTTAGAGGCCTAAAAATGTCAACTGGAAATTACCAAAATCTGCATGACGTCATTTCATTCCCTTGAATGAAATGACGTCAAATGCTATTCAAAAAATTTATACATAAAAAGAGGCTCGGCTGTTTCCCATCACTAGAGAGATGCGCCTACGCATAGTTTAAAACGTTCTATTATCAGTAGACGCGCGACCACCATGGCGGGCGGACGTGCTGTGACGCTCCTCGCGGTTTTAGCCCTATCATGCTGTGTGGTACAAAGTACAGTGTACAGCAGGTGCCAGTTGACCCGTGAACTACTGAAATTGCAATTTTCAAGGACTTTCCTTAGCAACTGTGAGTTTATTTTTATTTAAATTGTGTTGTGTAAATGAGGAAAGTCATTTTCCGAGCGTGACGTTTGAATTTCTATACAGACGAGTAACAAATTCATTGTAGTGAGAGCAAGTGACGCTATAAAGTATTTTATTTTAGTTTACTGATTGTCCAATAATTTCGTAAAAAGATAGGTACAGATTACATTATGATGTAATTGCATGAAATTATACTCTTTTCGTTTGCGTGTTTTTCAGTCTGTAACAGAAAAAAAAACCTTTTTGAGGCTTGTTTTTAATATCGCTCAAATAGTAATTAACTTATAATAGAAAAACCTTCATCTCTTATGTTTCGTAAAAGAAAAAAAAAACAGAGAAACATGACCCCTTATGAGAACCGTTAAAAAAAAACACCGATGTTTGCTTCCAAACAGCTTCTGTTAAAATAATCTACAAAATATATTAATTAAAGTTTTTAATAATATTAATTTATCAGTTTCTCAAAATTTTAAACAACAAAAGCATATCATATTCACCAGGATCCTATATGTTTTTCAACCTTCAACTTTGGGAATGTTATTCGTTCAACCAGGAACTGCAACAAGGACCTTTCTTGTTATTAATTTATGCAGTCACTACTCCTACGAGACTCAAAAGCGAGGTCAAATGCGACGTAAAATTTAGTTACAATTCATTCATCCCAACTAATATTATAAATGCGAAAGTAACTCTGTCTGTCTGTCTGTCTGTCTGTCTGTCTGTCTGTCTGTCTGTCTGTCTGTTACGCTTTCCCGCTTAAACCTCGCAACCGATTTTGATGAAATTTGGCATAGAGATAGTTTGAGTCCCGGGAAAGAACATAGGATAGTTTTTATCCCGGTTTTTGAAACAGGGACGCGCGCGATAAAGTTTTTCTGTGACAGACAAAATTCCACGCGGGCGAAGCCGCGGGCGGAAAGCTAGTTCATAATAATAGTTTGTTATTGTTTGACAACACAGCAGTTTAGCGTATAGATCTGCCTAATGTACTTACAAATGACCTGCCCCCTAAGAAAGTTACAAACGTGATTAGTACATAGTTATCTCCTTTTCAGGCATTTTTCTTCTGCCTTGCAATTTTGGAAGTCGATATTATATTTCTCACTCCCCATATATTCTTCTGATTAAAATAGTTGTGGGTTTTAAGACAGTAAGTTACCTATCCCCCGGGATTGCTCAACCTTTACTGGTTGGGTTGAGGCCAAGCTGTATTATCCTGACTATAAAGGAGTAGAAGTGATGAGAAGTGATGGGAATGATAGCTGGGATTAGTCCCGTTTCCAATATGTTACATTTCCTATGACCTTTTTGATAAGGACAATGCATTATGTCCTTTAGTGCACTTACTTGAGTTTGACTACGTATTGTATTTATTCAACCATGTAAGTGATAAGGATGTAAATAAATAAAGTTCTACTCACATAGGTATTAAGCGAGATGTTAATCTTAAGAGACGGTTTAATTTTCAGAAGAAAACAATAATGGTGAAAAGTTTTGTTCCTATTTTTATTGCATTATTTCATAACATCATTTCACTATAAAAAGAGCATCACCATTATGTAATTTAACCTCCACTGGGAGAACCCCTCACTAATTTACTTGAGGCATATAGAGAATTTGGCCTTAACTCCCTACTCTGGCTAGACGGGTTAGGAAGGCCTGATGTTCCACAAATTTCTCCCGAAGTCACTACACTCTTAATATCCACAGAAGTGGGAGTGTTGTCTCATAATAAAATTGAACATTTTATTACAGGGGTATGTTTAATAGAACAAGTGAGTGACAGAAACACTGCAACGATGGTGGTCAAATCTCCTAGAAGGAAATACTATGGATTATTTCAAGTGAGTCATAAACAATCGTGTTGGAAATGTAAACTGTGTGAATATCATTTTTAATGTGTAATTAATAGTGTATAATAATAATTTATTGATATAGAACATTATTTTGATGTTTTCCAGATCGGTAGTGAGTGGTGCAAAGAAGGCCGAAAAGGTGGAAAATGTGACCTAACATGTGAATGTAAGTACCTACGAGTATAACGTGATTAACAAAAAAATAAGTTTTTTTGTGGAAGAAGAAAGAAAACCGTCCTAACAGCACTGTACAGGTTTAATTTAATTCGTTTAATTAATATGCATTTGGTGAAATCTACTTACCCTATCTTACCTCTAACTTTTAATTATTTTAAAGCCACGATAGCCGAACGGTGAATGGGTCGGACTGGCCGACTCGTGATCCGGGAAACGCGGGTTCGATACTCGCCGCTGCTCGACTGTTGTGGTGAGCCCACAGGCAAAACACAATTACGAGGGGCTGAAAATACTGTACTCTTTAAAAAAAGAAACTTCCGAAACACAATATTGTTGTTATGGCGACAAACTTAGATAAGATTGTAGTAGTTAGCCAAGAGAACTTAGAACAAGTCCTACTAGTCCTACCACCAACTAGATAGGGCAGAAAATTTTGTTCCCACTGGGAATCAAACCCGGGGGGTTACCCCAGGGTTTGAGGCAAATAATCTTATTCTATCACTAGACGAGGCGGTCAGAATTATATATTAGCAGAATACACATGTCTGTAAGTGTAGGTTCAAATTCCCAGAATTTGTAAGATTGAAATGCATTTTTTATTCAGCTCTCCTGGATGACGACATCAGAGACGATGCCAGCTGTGCTCAGAAGGTGTTCGAGATGGAAGGTTTCAAGTATTGGACGAAGTGGGAAGCCCGATGTAAAGGACAGACCCTGCCTGATATTGAGAAGTAAGTATTTATCAATAGAACTGTATTGTACCTTGTATCACCTTAACTTTAACCGTCCACAAGGTAGACCGACGACATAAAGGTAGCAGGAAGACGCTGGATGCAGGCCGCTACCAACCAAGCGATGCAATGTGAAAGTACTTGGGGGAGGTCTGTGTTCGGCAGTGGACGTCCTATGGCTGAAATGATGATGATGAACTTTAACCGCAACTATAACTTTAACCGGTGTTTTTGTATGGAGTTTGACTAAACTCTGGGTATGAGGAAGGTGATCTTACCACTCCACTACAGAGACGGTGACCTTTAGAAGGAGGTAGCTTCTACCTTCGGTCCGATTATTACTTTACATTGCAGGCCAAGAGAGATTGAATTTCTTAATTTTTTAGTAGGTTGATGTACCTAACTTTTGTTAATCTACATTATAATGGTCCTTATAACAATTCCGTAAAATTCATGTTTAGCTATGTGCCGTCTCTTGCAGAGTTCACAATATTTTTACGCAGGTGTTGTATTATGCAATATTTGTATTGTGTGGTACCGCGAATTCTTTTAATATTTAACTTTGTATAGTACAGACAACAGAAAAAAAGATGAAACTTATGGTACCTTATTTGGTTTTAATAAGGACGATTTTGCGATAAAAAGATGTTTGTGCTGACTTTACTAGATAATTATAGTTTCTTAATTATTATTTTTTTGAGATTTTAAGCATGATTGACACATTTATCTTGTGTAATCCATAGAGGTAAATACCACACAATGATGTAATGAAATTCACCAACGGAGAAAATTTTAGTTTTCCTTATAGTTATTAATACTGTAATGCTGTCTGTCAGTTGTTCTATAACTACGTGAATTTGTTTTATCTGCGTATGAACTGCTATAGAAAAGTACGAAATAAATACAAACCTACTCATATTTATAATAACACTTATTTGCTTAGTACAAACACTAGCTGTGCCCGCGACTTCGTACGCGTGAAATAGTTCGAATAATATTTCCCGTTTTTGCAACATTTTTCTTTACTGCTCCGCCCCTATTGGCTGTAAGGTGATTTTATATAGCTTAAAGCCTTCCTCGATAAATGGGCTGTACAACACAAATATAATTTTTCAAATCAGACCTGTACTTTCTGAGATAAGCGCTTTCAAACAAACAAACTATTCAGCTTTATAGTATTAGTATAGAGGTAGATTAAATAACATAAGTAGTAGATAAATAACGATAGAACAAACTCAATAACAAACCTGTATCAAATCGCCAAACAATAGAGAGCAATATAAACATAAAGCCCACTCGAAGTGACCTTTACAAAAACCATTGTGAGTGTTTTTTACGTGATTTTCCTTGACGACTGTATCGTTAACCTACGGGTATTACGTGATATCACATAGTATTGATGCTGTGGAGGAGGAAAATATAAGCAAATAAATTATTGACTTTTTGTATGACTTTTTATGAGAATGCATAGTTTCACGTAACGTGGTATTTTTTCATCCTGTATATGCCTGCCTGATTAAAGATTTTAATGATAGGAATTCTGTTTTTTTATGCAGAACAAGCGAGATGCAATCTATGATGGGTACATATCTGCCCTGTAAGTGCCTATTCACTGTCGTCTTGAAAGGGCCCGGATTATAGTGATCGGGAAAGACAGCAGAAGGCAGCGAATTCCAGTCCCTAACTGTTCGCATCATAAGAGTTATCGAATCGCTTAGTGCGAGCTGGTGGAATGTCGACAATGTAGGGAAGGTACGCTAACCTATGTCTGGTTCCCCGGTCATGGAAGGGGGCTGGTGGAATTAGCTCGTGTAATTCCTTCTCACACTCTCCAAAGTGTAACCTGTAGAAAAGTGTTTTGATACATTTTTCCTGTTCCAGATGTCCAGATTGGCAGCATCCTCCTTCAAGAGCGTCACCAGTCAGAGAAAAGAGAACCCTTCCCGGGAGAACCTCGAGGAAGTTCAGTTTTGTCCCTTACCCAGTAATGACTGTGCTTCGTATTTAAGTATAAGCTTAAATGTCAGAAAATAGAAAGGTCATTTTACAGTAACAGTCGAATCTTATAGATGTAGCGTTAGAAGGTGTGTTTGCTTCTCAAAAAGTTATACCGTTCATCTCAACTAAAGGACGTCCACTGCTGGACAAAGGCCTCCCCCAAGATTCCCATAAAGACCGGTCCTACGCTGCCCGCATCCAAGTACTTCCCGCGACCTTCACTAGATGGTAGATACTAGGTTTCATTCAAGTATAACACGGTGCAATTTTAAGTCTTATTTTGTCAATTTTTAAATATTTGGGACCATAATATTAAGTTAATAAAATACATTTTAATGTCGTAAAATTTTTGAAATAGTAGGTACCTTACTAATATTTATATAGGATTTTTATCAAACATGTAAGTACATAAATGTACGTAATTGTGCCCACTGACTGTGATATGAATACTAATAAAATTCAGTTTAAGTACAAATAAGAGGAAATAAAGGTTGTATAGTGTAGTAAATAAGTCCAAAAAGTGAAATGTTTAGCTGTAGGTATTGAAAAAAAAACCAGTACAACAATATAGAAAATAATATAAAACTATAAATTGATGAGTGAAAAATATAATGATCAACCATATGAAAAAAATCAGGATATATTTTGCCTGTTTACCTATACACCCTAGTGTAGTAGTTTTATTAAAGTTATAAAAAAATAATAATGAATACATGCAGGTCTGTGTTTTATTTATATCTCCTAAAATACGTATCGAGGCAATTATGGGACAAGCATGTGAACATCAGGCATCCCCATCCACATGTAGGCCTGGGATGCACGCCGCAATAAGCTTTTAACCCATACATTATTTTGTCATCGAAATCATCACGGCGCGCATCCTAACCCGGCTGGCCAAATTTTACATTATTTGCCTGTGGTAAGTTAGAGAGTGGCTTCTCACTATAGGCCTCATACAGAAGCTCAAAGTTGCACAGCGTTCTATGGAGAGGGCTATGTTCGGTGTTTCTTGACAAGATCGAATAAGAAATGAGGAGATCCTTAAACGAACTAAAGTCGCTGACATAGCCCGACGGATTAGCAAGCTGAAGTGGCAATGGGCAGGGCACATAGTACGCAGAACTGACGGCAGATGGGGCAGCAAGGTTCTGGAGTGGAGGCCGCATACCGGAAAACGCAGCGTGGGACGTCCACTCGCAAGGTGGACCGACGACATCATAAAGGTAGCAGGAAGGCGCTGGACGCAGGCCGCTACCAACCGGGCAACATGGAAAGCATTGGGGGAGGCCTATATTCAGCAGTGGACGTCCATGTGACGTGACGTGATGATGATGATAATGAAGTTAGAGAGTTTCCTGCTCCTGCAACCTGATGATCATAATGATACATCATTTTACCACTTATTAGGGTATTATTTTATTTATAATAAAAAACAAACCTAGCTTTCATAAATTCAAAGAAGAAAATCATTTAATATTCAGGTTAACGTAGTATTTTTAAAACATACAGATAAGTTCAAGCGTAGTTCATAATTTGTTCCTAGAAAGGGGAAAAACTATGTTAGGTCGCCGTAAATTGTGAAAAATTCTCTCTTAGATGCCACATAATGGAAATTTAAAACGACAACGCTTAGGTGGGTGATTTAGTATTAGCAGAATGGAAGTAGATGTAGTAGATCCATAATATGGACTGTTTAAGAGATAATTTTTATGCAAAAAAATAATATTCTCCTTGTGTATCATGTACAATGAAAAAAAAAATGGTGTTGTTGATTATGTACTTATCGTAATTAGAATAGTAAAAAGTATCAAAGTCAAAAATATTTTATTCAATTTAGACCACTAGTGGCTTATGAACGTCAAAACTCAGTCAACACTGGCAGTGGAGCAGTAGAACATAATATTGTTGTAGGTAGTCATTAGTTTCGAATCGCGGTTATAGTGTAAGAGGTGATGTAAGACGTGAAGGAAGAACCAAGAACGGCAGAAGGAGTCAATTGGGACCCAGCGCTGGATGACTGCTATGTGCCAGAGGCTGAGTGGAGATCTTTAGAAGACCAGGTAAGTCAGAATGCAACCTCTTTTCTTATTTAATTTGAAATGTCATAAATTCTTCACTAAATCACAGTAGTAGCATTCGTTCTCAGTTCACTAAAATTTTTCATTGCTGGGGTAAAAAGAAATATGTTAGGTTTCTTATCGAACAGGTAAATGCACCTGCTACATTAATTTTCATTATAATCCAACCAAGAATGTCTTTATTAAACCCGTAAAACTTGTTAGTAGTATCGGAAACGAAGGGAAACCCTAAGTTTAGGACAAAGGTACCAAAATTAAAGGGGTCAGAATTAATAGGGTTCTTAAGTGGAGGCAAAAATAATTATGTGCGGTAGCGAAGGTAAGGTTTAATTGTAGCCTGAAGATCTATAAGATCTGATTGCATAAATCAGAAGGTAGAATTCTAAGATTAAACTAAAATCAAGTATTACGGCTGCCAGGGGCGCAGTTAGGCAGGGTACTCACCTGCCATGTAGCACGTAACGTAGCATGTAACGTCACCAACCTTCAAGTGAGTACGCCTCGTCCACGCTCATCGCGTATCTGGCTGCGAGCTCCTGGATCCTACTGCGAGCCGCCTTTTGTGCTCGCAGTGATACCGACATCGGCGGGTCGCTACGATCTCCCTGCGAACCACGCGCGAGCAGCTCGCAGCGGGCTCGTGCCTATGTACTCACTTGATACAGTATCTGATACATTACATGCTACTTGGCTAGATGAGTACCCTGCTTTGGGGCCCTCGCCCACGGCGATTTTATTGTAGCGATGCTGTCAGCGCGTTAGTAGCGCGTTGGCATTACTTCTTTAGTGCGTTGCAAATGCGACTAACGCGCGTTAGTAGCGATGCTGTCGCTCGTTTACGAAACGCCGTGGGCGAGGGCCCTTAACTCGATCGGGTTGTAGGAACGGCAAAAAAAGGTTTTTTTACATTATCTCCTTACCTTGGATTTTGGCAAGTACTGAGAAAAATGCCGGAACAAACTCAAACTTGTCAGTGTCTATTGGCGCGGACTATAGTGAAAAATTAAGAAAAGAGTATAAGGATCTTATTATTCGTATATGACCACTGCTGGACAAAGGCCTCTTCCAAGGATTTCCACAACGACCGGTCCTGAGTTGCCCGCATCCAGGCACTCCCCGCGACCTTCACAAGATCGTCGGTCCACCTAGTGGGGGCCTGTCTTCCGGCCCGTGGTCGCCACTCGAGAACTTTTCTGCCTCAGCGGCCATCAGCTCTACGAGCCCCAGATCATATTGATTTTATGGAAATTAGTAGGTACTTAAATAATTGTGAACCACATCAGTGAACATAATATTGATGCCATCAACTCGGTAAGCTAAAAACGATTGAGTGAGCATTTCGTTTTAAATGCGGCACAATTATTTACTATTAATTAATAAAAGCTTTCAGCAGAATGAAACCAAAATGATGTCCATTACATCGATATTTTCAATAGCACCCAATCAAATTTCCTTATCGAGGCTCAGTATTACTAAATAAATTACAATATTTTTACGTGGAAATTGGAAACCTTTACACTTGAAAAAATCTCAAGTTCTGGTTTCTTTTTGACCTACAATGGGAAAGCTCTTGCACCTTCATCTCATCTGATGATCATGACGATAATGATCATAAAGCTTCGGTCAAACCAACGCGTGCAGCTCGCGTCGGCGTTCGTTTTATTTAATACTAGCGGCCGCCTGCGACTTCGTACGCGTGGACCCCGTTTTACCCCTTTAGGAGTAGAATTTTGCAAAATCCCGTCTCAGTTAGCACCTACGTTCAGTAATCTAAAAGGAACCCCCATGCAAAATTTGAGACTCCTAGCACTTATAGTTTTTGAGATATCGTGATGAGTGAGTGAGGCAGTCAGTGACCTTTTGCTTGTATAAATCCAAAACAATTAAAAGCTCTTTAATATCAATCGAGCGTATAAACACGGGTCTGTTTGTAATGTACGCTAATAAACGTAACGAAAAAGTTTCCATTGATTTTGGGAATGCAAACAGAGTCACAACACGTACAGAAGAGCAACACCATTGTTATTACGATGATGAGATTTGTTTGATCTTTGTTTATAAATATTTTTGTTGTCGTTTAGCCTTATTAACCACCTCTATGGTCAATTTGTAAAACCACCTGATTTAGACGTAGAGGTCCCGGGTTGGATTCCCACTGGGAGTAGATTTTTCTGTTCGGTTTGGTTGGTGGTAGGGCTTGTTCTAAGTCCGCCTGGCTAGCTACCACCATCTTACCTAAGTCTGTCACCATAACAACAATGTTAACAGCATTGTTGTGTTCAGTTAGAGGTAAGATAGCCAGTTCCTCCGTGGTTGAGGTATCCGCGTGAAGTTCGCTTCCACCTTCAGCCTGATCGTCACTTACCATCAGGTGAGATACAGGCCAAGAGCTTCTTCGTTGTGGATAAAAAAAATCTTTACAATGTGAATGCTTTCATTTCATTACGACTTGGAGGGATTGATTTTAGCTTTGCTTCTTCTCTATTTACTGGCAACTATACCTACTTATTACCTGCTCAAATGATTACTAATGTTTGTAGTCTACTAGAGTTTTCATTAAGTTCAAGATATCTAATTATAGCATAGCAGACTTGAAAGTGAAATACACGATACCGAGGAAAACTTAATATGTCTCTCCCATTCAAAAGTTTCATCACCAACATTTCAGCCATAGGACGTCCACTGCTGAAAATAGGCCTCCCCCAGTGATTTCCACATCGCATCGCCTGGTTGATAGCGGCCTGCATCCAGCGCCAGCCTGCTATCTTTATGACGTCGTCGCGTCGGTCCACCTTATGGGTTTACCACAGTTAAAATGCTTGATACTGGATTATAGTTATAATGTCTGATTATTTTTGACTGTGGCTCCATTGCGGTGGAAACAATGCCGAGCAAACAAACGGGATCGCTTTTCACTCAAAATTAAACGAATCATTCAGTAGTACTGTTTGCTTTTTGATTCAACGGCCAAGAGTTTTTAATTTGACGCATTGTTTTTTAGGTTAGAACCGTTTATTGGAGGATTTTATTTAGACTTTAAGTGCCCTTTAAAGTTTAGTTGAAAGTCAACAAAACTAATTTGAAAACATGTTTAAATATTGTTGTTGGTTCGTTTGGAAAATTGTTGTATTTATTTAGCAGTATCATATTTAATAATATCAAAGACTAGTCCCTTTATGCAATAATATTACGACTAACAACACAGCCATGTCGTTTGTACAACTCTACTACAGTTTCAAGTTTAAATCCCCCTGATAGCATTAGTTCAAAACATACAGGGTGAAAACGATCATAAGTTATGAGATAGCCATCACTCGATTATTTCTAACCTATACAAGATATCCAAAAACCAGTTAATCGATATCTTGTTTAGTAAATAATCGATCATTTGCCGTTTCCACCATGTGTAGGTTAAGAAACCATTCTCTACAATTTCTTGCTTCTAGACAATGGTTTTATTTTGTTATTCATTTATATCTTTTAGCAAATACTAACACCATAATTCCTAAGCAGAATCTTAAGCTTTACTATCTTTATCATCCATGATCAGCTCTATCACTAAAATTGATGAGCGAGCTTGTCATAACCAAGACGAATGGGCTTTGGTCAGGGCTCATAACTCAGGCGGTTTGCTGAGTCT